CCCACACACACACACACATACATACACACACATACACACACACATACACACACAAACACACACACACACACACACACACACACACACACACGCACACACACATACAAACATACAAACAAACACACACTCACACACTGTAGAAGGAAGACTTCGACCCTGCATGTCAGGGTCAACCCGGATTGCGACGTCTGTGGAGATAGATAGGGATACTCGGGAAAAATTATCCGCACACGGGACTCAAACTCGGGTCCTCTGCGTGTGACAGCGAAGCGCCTAACTGCTACACCAAAAACACTGGCGCGTTTATCTATGTGTTTGTCAATGGTGTATTCTATGACCAGAGACAGTGTATGTTAACCCTGCTATGACATAAGCTACTTAATGTAACACTTACATTTCCCATCCAGCGGCGATCTGGGTTCTTGCCCTTCGGCCTTGACTTAATGTAATACATGTGACTAAAAATACCGCCATACTAAAGACACTGGAGCGTGCATTATATTATGTGTCTGTGTATGCATATTATGTATATTGTATAGCATAAGTTACTTAAATACGTACCGCATATGACTAAAATACCGCCACACTAAAGACACTGGTGCGTTATCTTTGCGTTTGTGCAAGCATGTGTACGTGTATTCTATGACGTAAGTTACATGTACTAAAACGTCTAACACATATGACTAGAAATACCGCCACACGAAAAACACTGGTGCGTTTATCTATGCGTTTGTGTATGCATGATGTGTATTCTATGACATAGGTTACTTAAATATGTAACGCACATAACAAAAAAATACGCTGTGTACCATTTAAGACAAAGATAATTTCTAAAGATGAGCACATGAGAGTTTCAAGGACAGAGCTGTTGATTGCAGAATTGTTCGGAAACAAGCGCCGGAAGTGATAAAGTGACAACTCTGGACTTGTCAGATAGAAGTCGTGTTTTGTTTTTGAAGGTTTTTATATTCTTTCAGTTTTTTTGTCTGGTGAGTCCTTCTTGTTAACTTTCCCTCTGATGTTTATAATATGTAAGTCTGTCTGCCATGCTTTTTTCCCAGCACTGTTGTCTCCGTGTGCTTATCTTTACTATTATTATTATTATTATTATTATTATTATTATTATTATTATTATTATTATTATTATTATTATGAAATAAATAATAATAATAGACTAGTCTTGTTGAGCAGAGAAAGGGCAAAACAGGTAGAACAAAAACATGGTAAAAGAAAAGGAAGTTAGAAAACCTACCAGTGGCGCCCTCCTACCACCCTCTGACAGAAGTGCAGTAAAAAAAAAAAAGAAAAAAGTTGTTCAAAAAGAGATGAAGAACATTAAAGTGATGGTTGCCATGAAATATAGGACGAAGTTGAGCAAAAACAGCGTGCCGGCTTTTACATGGTTATCTACTGCGGTGAGTTCTTATGCCAAACAACAACAACAACAACAATATCAACAACAACAATATCAACAACAACAACAACAACAACAACAACAACAACAATATCAACAACAACAATATCAACAACAACAACAACAACAATATCAACAACAACAACAACAACAACAATATCAACAACAACAATATCAACAACAACAACAACAACAACAACAACAATATCAACAACAACAACAACAAAGTAACACGGGGCGCTGAACATTGGCAACAAGCAAAGGTTGTAGACTATCAGAAGCTGTTACATGTAATACCAAACATGCTTTGAGTGTCGGTGTAAAACATTTTGATTTTTTTATGGGGGGGGGGGAGTGTTTGTTTGTGTGTATATGTATGTGTGTGTGTGTGTGTGTGTGTGTGTGTGTGTGTGTGTGTGTGTGTGTGTGTGTGTGTGTGTGTGTGTGTCTGCTTGTATGTTGTTGTTTTGTTTGTTTGTTTGTTTTTGGTTTGCTGATTTATTTGTTTGTTTGCACAAGTAAAGATAAGAACGTCAACATAGTTAGGGATATTCATTGATGGAAAACGGAAGATAGACAGAGGGAAACAATAGAGGAAAGAAAAGAAACAGGACCTACTAATTTTCCTCTTTACAAACGTCCCACTATGAATTGTAAAAGTTGACTTAATTTTCTTTTTTGTATCAGATCGCAAAATGACTCTATGCATGTACTATTAAAAATTAAAGACTTCTCCAAAACTTAGTATCATCCCTATCGCACCACATGATACACCCTGTTCGTGTTTTGACATTTCCTTTAACACATGTAAGGTTATTTGGTTGGTGTGACCTGGAACACGTTAACTTCACCAACGGTCCGTTCAGGATTCAAACCTAGTTCATTGATCAAATCCACAAGAAATTTTTTTTGAAACATAAGCAAGTCCGTCCCATGATTCAATGGTGAGAGGAACTGTAGCTCTTATGCATAGATAGCCGAAGATAATGAAATAATCCTGTCATTATTGCTATTATTACTATCATACATATGCCTATTATTATTATTATTATTATTATTATTATTATTATTATTATTATTATTATTATCATAAATAGTAGTAGTAGTAGTAGCAGCAGCAGCAGCAGCAGCAGCAGTAGTAGCAGTAGTAGCAGCAGCAGCAGCAGCAGCAGCAGTAGCAGCAGCAGTAGTAGTAGTAGTAGTAGTAGTAGTAGTAGTAGTAGTAGTAGTAGTAGTAGTAGTAGTAGTAGTAGTAGTAGTAGTAGTAGTAATAATAATAATAATAAATAGCATTTGTATAGCGCATATCCCCGCTCAACAGCAGGCTCTATGCACTTTACACTATATTATTACCCCAGCACACCATAGAACACTCCGAAACATTCTCAGCTTCCCGGGAAGCATACAGTGCAAGCAGCTGATTAAGCGCTCAAACACTAACAAACTGACAAGATCTTTCGCTGTCTATAGAGGAAAATTCGTGTAAAGTGCCTTTCCCAAGGACACAACGTCGAGCCCCTGATGGGATTCGAACCCACGACCTTACGGTTGCGAGTCAGAGAGCCTAACCACTAGGCCACCGACGCCACTACTAGTAGTAGTAGTAGTATCATTGTTATAATTATTGTTGTTGTTTCTGTAGTTCTATTATTAGTATCATCATCATCATCATCATCATCATCATCATCATCATCATCATCATCATCATCATCATCATCATCATCATCATCATCATCATCATCATCATTTTGCTACATTACCATCATTATTTATAGTTACAGTCGGCTACTTAAGAGTTGATGTCGTCAGAGGGTGAAAAAAAGAACAACTCAACCAAAGTCCAACTTCACCCTTTGAAAATTGTAAAGAAGAAGAGGTGCTGGGACCCCACCAAAAAAGATAATATTACCCGAAGATCAACTCAAGCGAGTTCAACAGCAGTGGCGTCGATTGTGTTATCATCATCATCATCATCATCATTATTATTATTATTATTATTGTTAATTATTATTATAATAATCATCATTATCTTACTATTGTTATCATAACCATTACCATAATTATTATTACCATTATTATTGTTTTAGTTAATAGTATTATATTTTTTATCATTATTAGTAGATCTAGTAGTAATAATAACAGTATCCTACTATAATTATCATTATCATTATCTTTATCAATTTTAGTATTAATATTATTATTATTATCATCATCATCATCATCATCATTATCATCATCAACATCATCACCACCGTCATTTTTACTACTAGATTCTAGATCTACCATTAATAATAGACCTACCGAAGGATCCGAATGACACCTAAAATACAGAACACACACAGCAGTCTGATGTGTCTCTACTATCATGCTCCTGTTAGTTGAGAGCCAGTTGTTAGCTTAATTATTACATCCTCTCTATTTCTGTGACGGGAGTATATTTTTATAACCTTGGTAAAGAGGGGTATTCCCGAAACCACGGAAATGCCTTATTATGTCGTAGAAAGTGACAACGCCATGCTTGATCACAATCACCAGAAATTTCGGTCAACAGATCGATTCTTTAAAATGTTTTACGTACCAACTACTCTTTTAATTTATTTTTTACAATTTTTGTTTTAGTATGTTTTAGTAATTTAGTGTTTTACGGCACTTGCAACACAATAAAGTCATATAAGTGCCAACGATTAGAGGGGTTTACAAGAGAGTAACAAACAGAAGCACACAAAAAAGAAGAATGGGAGATAAAAACGTTAGACGTTTGATAGGAAAGAAGAAGCAAACCACACCAGAGCACCGGCCAACCACCCACTTTCATTATTATTTTTTATATTATTATTATTATTATTATTATTATTATTATTATTATTATTATTATTATTATTATTTTAATACATTTTATATTTAAGGGCCGAGCTGCCAATGTGTTATGATTGATACACAGCAACCAAACAGAAAGACAGCTCTTTTGTTTTAAAAAAATAGTGATTTGCCAACACAGGAATCGAACGCATGACTTCAGATTACGAACACGACGAGCTTAAACACCACACAAAAGACGATGGTGCAAGAGCCACGACCAGTAAAAAAAAGAAAAAAAAGAAAAGATTCTAAAAATCAAATATATATATATATGTCTCATACGTCAAGAAGGTCAACAGCTTTTGGCAGGAAAATCAAGACTTTGAAACGAAATTGGCGCAGTAAAAACTGAACTCAGGTAGTGAAAACAGCCTGCCCAAATACGGGTAAGACAAAAAGACGTACGTACATCGACAAGATAAAGACCATTAAGTGCATGGAGAATAGCAAGATAAAGATGGACAAAAGCAACAACAGGGAAGAAAA